AGTTTATAATTTTTCGAATGTCTTGTATTCTGTAGTTCCCATTACAATCGTTAAAACATAGTGAAATACAATTCTTCTCGCTCTTTCCGAATTAAATCTTGATCGACTGGATTTTAGATAACTTACTTAGCCAATTATTAAACATCGACAATGTGAAAGTAAGTCTGCACACGTAATTACAACAACTTAACAAAAATTCCCTAAAGTGAAGGTAACTCTCCAATCATGTATCGAGTTACTCTCGTTAACTGCGAACAAACTGTGTAAAACATTCGTAAATAATGATCCTAGACTATTCATCAACGTCTTAAAGACGTGGTGAATATATAACTGTGTTTAATATGTTTGTTTTATCATGACAGTTAATAGCAAGTTATGGTTATAATTTCGATTCTCGTTAAACCCGGTTCAGCGGCTTCGGTACTCCAAGGCTTTCAACTATTCGTAAGAAGCAACTCATAAAGATATGATTTATTTGAGGCTAGCTAATTATAACTTTCTGAAGTATAAAATAATACCACTTTTCCTCCGGTGGATCAGCGGTAATTTTACAGACTTTCAAATCTATAATTCGAAGTTTATGTGTAGCTTTGCGATAAAACAACATGATATCTGTTACGGGAATTCAATATCTCTTTGTAAAAGAAAAATTTGTGGCAAATTCTAACTGTTGATAATTTTTGGATTTTAGCATAACCTATGCAGTGCACTTGTTAAACATAATTCTATAAATAACCAGAAGGAAAAAAAATATTCTGTTGTTGTTTGAAGTTAAGCACAAAGCTACACAAAGGGCTATCTGTGCTCTGCCCACCACGGGTATCGAAATCCGGTTTCTAGCAGTATAAGTCCACAGACATAACCAAATATTCTTTCTCAGATCCACAAGAAAGGCTATGAATATTGATAATCAAAAGCATAGTAAGTACATGATATAAAACAAAAATACGTCATATTATTATTATTATTTATAATTCTAGGGTGCGGGCTGCTCTTGTGGTAAAGTTCTGGATTTTGGAGCTGGTAAGTTGGATTCTAATCCGTGCTAGACCACAACATATTCCTCATACTTAAACATGTGGGTGCGTTTTAAGAGTGACAGTCAGTCAGTCCTTCAGCGTGAATGGTAGGTATTTTAGAATTAAGGATGGTAACAGACCTTGGTAGCTTTGCGATAAATACAGAATTATAATTCTATACGTACAGATGTTTACGGTGATTAATACTAGATGGCAGCACAAGATTCCGAGACATTTTCTTCAGTTCATTTTTTTTAAATGAGACACAACAGTAAGTATGAAGGCTTTTCACGCTAAAAATCGTGTTTCGATATTCGCAGTGGACAATGTACATTGTGCTTAACAATAAACAAAGAAAGCTGGAAATATTACCTGGATTTAAAAGGTTGCGGTAGCGAGTTGGCGGATTGTCTTCTTTTAAAATATTTTCAAAAATTCAAAAGAGCATTTTTTTGTTGTTGTTTCTAAGAAGAGGTAAGAATTAGTGGCTACTTTTAGGATCAAGAAAAACAACAACAACATTTTTGTATCGTGGAAAGTTTTATATGTAACAGTAGATAGTGTGATTACTTCATGCACTAAATTGACTCTAGCATCAAAAGTCAAACTTATTCCGTTGAGTGAAGCGTGTTTTATTGTCCTAATTTGACGTGATGATGATTTCAAGTTCTGTCCAAGTCCGGATCAAATTTACATCATATGTACCCGAAGATTTTGGTAAAAATTACTTATTTTCTTTGTAAAATACACAGGGGATCCGAGCTGTAAATAGTGGAATTATATTAAAAATGTAGATGGTATTTTGGTTAACGTTTTTTGTGATTCATGTTATTAGGAGACACAAACAATTTGGTGCATAATTAGAAAATATTTAAAAACGGTGCATATGTAAGTAATTATTATTAATTGAGTGCCCCCACCCCCCAGTGGTACAGTGGTATGTCTGCGAACTTATAACACTAGAAACCGGGTTTCGATACCTGTGGTGTGCAGAGCACAGATAGCCCATTGTGTAGCTTTGTGCTTAATTCCAAACAAACACATAATTAAATGAGTGTGTGCTTTCTTATAGCAAAGCCTCATCGGGCTATCTGCTGTGTCCACCGAGGAAAATCCAACCGCTGAATTTAGCATTGTAAGACTTACCGCTGTCCCACCAGGGGACCTTTATTAATTGAAGAGATAGTTCGATTTGCTTACACTACGTTCTAGAATAATAGTTCTCGCATCAGAAAAATCTTAAGTACAAAATAAAAGGGATTTAAGGCGCGGAATCCATCTTAAAATTAGACATTTTTATTTAAGAAGCCTTTAACAGAAATAATGGGGGGTGTTAAGTTGTTGTTTATTTCCTTCAGAAATGTATTTTTTAAAGAATATGTATCTTCCATCTTAAAATTGATGTAAGCTACAATATAGTATTATCAACTCAAAATAAGACATAAATATTGTGCTTTGCCTAAATGTGATTTGCTCCCTGGTGCCTCAACGCTAAACTCGAGGGCTGACAAAACTAAGACTCGGAGTTCGATCCCTGTGGTGGACACAGCGCAGAGAAGCCTATTCTGTAGATCTGCATGTAATAACAAAAACATAAATATGATTTAAAAAACAATAAAAAACCTAATTGTTCTCATTAAACGAAACAGAAGCTAAGTTTGCAGAAGTAAAAATATTTTTGACTACTTTAGAAATATAATACAGTAAGGTTCTATGGTTTATTTGTTATACACTAATAAAGCATAAATAAAAGCACACCATCCTTACGATACAAGTGGAGTAATTAGAGACGTATGTTCCGTTTCTCCAGTAAGCTACAACCACAAGCTAGATTCTGGGGTAAATTAAGACAACCACAAGCTAGATTCTGGAGTAAATTAAGACAACCACAAGCTAGATTCTGGAGTAAGCTAAAACGACTACTAGCTAGATTCTGGAGTAAAGAAAAACAACCACAAGCTAGATTCTGGGGTAAGCTAAAACGACTACTAGCTAGATTCTGGAGTAAAGAAAAACAACCACAAGCTAGATTCTGGGGTAAGCTAAAACAACCACAAGCTAGATTCTGGAGTAAATTAAGACAACCACAAGCTAGATTCTGGAGTAAATTAAGACAACCACAAGCTAGATTCTGGGGTAAGCTAAAACGACTACTAGCTAGATTCTGGAGTAAAGAAAAACAACCACAAGCTAGATTCTGGTGTAAGCTAAAACACTACTAGCTAGATTCTGGAGTAAAGAAAAACAACCACAAGCTAGATTCTGGGGTAAGCTAAAACGACTACTAGCTAGATTCTGGAGTAAAGAAAAACAACCACAAGCTAGATTCTAGAGTAAACTAAATCAACCACAAGCTAGATTCTGAAGTAAAATAGAACAACCACAAGCTAGATTCTGGAGTAAGCTAAAACAACCAAAGCTACATTCTGGGGTAAAATACAACAACCACAAGCGAAATTCTGAAGAGATGAGAAACAACTTCTGACTAACAGGACTTTCTGTATCGGTTTCAGAACTTTCTGAAAGTGAAAAAAAAAGAACAACAGCCAAAAACAGAAGTCGAAACATTTTTTGGTTTACTTTGTTCTTGTTGAATCATTCACGTATTTTAACATACAACTTCACAGTAAAATGTTCAAACACTTTCCAGCTATAACAATCTGGTCAGTATAAGACGGTGATTTATAAGGTATTAGAAATGGTCTAAACATAAAAGTATAGATTCAAAAATACATAAACTATCAATAACTCGGTAAAACATCTTTCTGTAAAATACGTTCTCAATAAGTTAGAAGAAAACAACGTCTAATCAACAGGACTGTAACGTAATCATGACTAATCGGTAATATCTCTCTGATTTACACACCAAAAAAAATCAGTTTTTTATAACAGATTAGAGTTTTAACACTGAGTGAACTTCCTAAAGAGCATCTTTATGTTTACGTAAATATAAACAAGTAAATACTCTGATAAGAACGTGTTATTAAGAAGTTTATTGCTCAGTTCCACTTTCCTTTGTAGGAATTGTTTAAATCTGTACTTGAGGTATTTTAGAAGTGGTTTAAAACACAATATAAGTTCACTGAGGTTTACAAATAAAAAAGTAAGTACCTTAAATATATTTTAGCCAAAGTTGTTTAGAAAAGTCAAAAAGTTTGAATTGTGGAAATGTTGTCAGCTTAAAAGCGTTTATATTGACATTACTCTGTAGCTATTTGTTTATAAAACAAGTTGAACTTGTTCCCAGTCTAGAAGATTTTAAGGTTCAACCTTTTTAGTTTGAGAATGCTATCATGTCGCTAAAAAGTCCTTACAGGGTGTTCAGGATACAGCTTCCATATTAATGGTTTATTGAAGTTCAAATAGGGAAGTTATTTCTGGAACATTTTGTATTTCTAATAACTTTATTCTGATATTTCTGTTGTTTTTTCAATTCAAAACAATAAAGAAACTTGTGTACTTAGCAATTTATACAAGTCTTATGCTGCTATGTAGGTTATAAAAATAGGAATAAAACTAAATATTTTCACTTTAAGTTTCATAAGCGAACAAACAACAACAACAACAAAACATAATACCTGCCAATCTCTTTATTTCATTCGAAAGATTTTATTCGAGTTTTGAGTTGTTTTTTTTTTGTTTTATTCACACAAATAATTTTGAATAAGTTCTTTGGGTACTTCCGAGAATTTGTAAATTGGCTGGGACTCTATTCTATAGCACGATATAAATAAAAACTTTTGTTCTTTTACACAAAACAAATTAGTTCCTGAGAATTAACTCTGTCGAAATAACTTGAATTAGAGTTAAGTGGTTTTTACGAATTCACCGGCTCGTATTTTTGAGTTCGTTCAAACTGCTCAATGATGAGCTGGTCTGAAAAAGAAAGCCAACTCATTCTTCTTTGAAAAAAAATTATTTTCTTGTGCGTTACAGTATAAACCAGTGTAACCAACGTTCAGGAAGTTTAAGTGTTGATTATGCTTTCAATCCAGGATTTGTAGGCTGTTGTTCTCATGTAGACACCAGGTAGGTTGGGTTCTGCACACTGAATACCGTGAGAAACTGTTCCAACCAGAACCCATCGTTCATCATCTCTCTGTAACATCAACGGTCCTCCAGAATCGCCCTAAAAGTCATAAGTGGGGAAAAAAAGTAAATAAATAGTTTTTGACCTGGTGTTAAACTGGAATTTACGATTAATTTCATATTTAAGTTGTTATTTGAAATATATTAACAACAACTATATGTTGTTGTTGTTGTTGTTTTTGGCAGTACAGCAAAAAAAAAACAACAACAAAAAACAACGAGAAAGATCAAGAATGATAATCATCCAGTAAACAAAATTTCATCAACGAACCCGCTTGATTATCAATTAATATTGTAAATATTTTCTTAAGTTTCTTCTTATACTGCACTCACCGATTTATTGATAAAACATCTTGACTGGGGTTATGAAATTATTTTCATTCAATAAAAGAAAAGAAATTAATTAAATGAATTATCTGCCTTTTTGAGTTATCGCTAAAAAATATGATAAATAATTTTTCGATCATAAATTAAATTTTATTATAGACAAAACTGCTTAGTTCTAATGATGAACCAATAGAGGGCGGCTATAAGAAGTAGATATAACGCACCTCAAATTTTCGTATATGCATAAAATAGGAAAAGTTGCTTAATATTTATTTGTAAAAATATTAATCTCTCTGCAAGTGAGTGGTTGAGTGTAATAAGTATTTCAAAAACAATGTAATATAAATGGTTTGAACTATACAGAATCTTTCAGATTAGTGAATGGATAAATACGTAAAACTAGTGAGACTGACATATAACACTTACTTCACAAGAATCCCTTCCTCCGGTCTCGTAGCCTGCACAAAGAAAGTTGTCCTTTATTTCTTTGGCATGGCCAGCATCGAGAAACATTTGCTTGCACTTGCTATTACTAACTATTGGCACTTGCACATACTGCAAAACACGGGGCACAGGACCATCTAAAATGTAAATAAACGTTTCATTCTCTTTAATTAAAGAAACACCTTCGAAAATACAAACAAACTAATACTTTTGAAACTAGTGGCTTTAGCACTACCGACTTTCAGATATTTGTTTCTGTAGGAAAGACCTCTTACTGAGAAAACAAAGCCAAGTGTCGAAAAGCTGAAAGATTCAACCAACAAGACAAAATTTTACCAAATAACAATTACAGCACTCAGAAAAAAACAATTAACCATATAATTAGAGCTCCTGAAACAAAAGTTAATCCTATAATTACAGCTCCTAGAACAAGAAGTTAACCCTAGCATTACAGTTTATAGAACCAAAGATTAATCCCAGAAACACAAATGGGATCTGGACTCCATCGGAATTTTAAGTATATTTTTTCTAATTTATTTATTTAAATGTTTCTTGTGAGTCCATCACTTTGTTGGTTACAGTGGTTCTAATAACACATAATTCACCAAATAACATGTAATACAGAAATACCATCATTATTGCAATTAATTCCACTAATTACTGCTGGAATGTCTCATGTATTTTGTATGGGAAAAAAGTATTTCGGTCAGTACTTTACACAACGAATGGTGTAACAGTTAAAAAAGTAAAATTACTCACTATATGGACCCCATAAGCAGTCAACTAATCAGTAATTTGAAGTTTAAAATTTATTTTATCACCCCCCCCCCTCAGTGGCACAGCGATATGTCTGTGGAGTTACAACGCTAAAAACCGGGTTTCGATACCCGTGATGGGCACAGCACAGAAAACCCATTGTGTAGCTTTATGGTTAATAAAAACAAACTTTTTCACCTATTTTTACTCACGAATCTCTAAGTTGTAGACAAACTCAGAATTTCTTTCTGCAACACGTGATGAAGGTTGTCAGTTTCCTGGTGTGGGTGATGAAGATAGTATTCCTATAACTTAAACTTACAATATGATTACAATCTTCAGAACAATGAATTTAACCAATAGCTTACCTTCAGAAAGCTTCCCCCACCCGGAGACGAACGCTGTTCTTCCTGTAAAGTCTTCTCCATTCTCTGGGAGACAGATTGGGGCAATGTGGGGTTGAAATTGAACTGGACTCTCCAGCTCCAACAACGCCAAATCATTTTCAAAAGTCTGGATATTGAAGTTTCTGTGGACAATCGCTCTCTTCACATTTTTGACCACAGGTTTTAATGACTCGTTACCCCCGCTGAAATCGTGTTCTCCCAGTACAGCTAACAGAGATGCCAAAAACCTACGAAATACAAGTTGTGTTTCGCGATGAGGGTTTAAAAACAGCCTTGGAAAAACGAAATCGCTAAAAATAGATACGATGCACACTAAACCGTAACAAAAGTTATTAAATAAAAACTTCACTATATCCCACTTAGAACTGTAATTTAAATAAAGTTCCGCTTGACGTGACTCGTATATTTCGTATAAAATAAATTATTAGATACTCTCCAGTACACTCTTGGCGTTCACGTCAAAATATTCTAATAGAATATACCCTGACAGTGAAGAAAGAACATTTTTAACACTGTGAACATACGTCATTAGGGTTAACTTTATTTTAAATGGAAAGTGAGCTTCGTAAAAAGTTTATAGCTTTTTTTTAGCTTAAATCTACATAATGGGATACCTGCGTGACCCATCGAGGTTATTGAACTACTAAATGTAGCCCCCAAGATCGCCGTTAAACAGCCTGGGTGAAGGAGGTTCAAAATTAATATTTGTTTCTTGTAAATATAGTCTTCTCGTGAACTGTTTATTTTTTTAGAGGGCTCTTTCATTGTTATAGAGTAACGTGTGCTCTGGTGGGGGATCAGCGGTAAGTTTACGGACTTACAACGCTAAAACCCGGTGTTCAATTCCCCGCGATGAATACAACAGATAACCCGATGTGGCTTTGCTCTAAAACAAACAAGTAAAGTGACGTGGTAACCTTATGAGAAGCTGCTTTACAAAGGAATGAGATAAAAGTACCTTATAATAGACTGCGCATGTTTAATATATATACACATATCATTACATAAACTATAGGAATGTAAGCAAATAACTCAAAAATACTGATTTATAACTTAAAAGTTTTTGGACCACATGTGCGACCCCTAGGTTTAGGCATAACCATCTATAATTGAGAAGTACTAAGCAGAGAGAAGGGTAGCCAATCAGAATCACTGCCGATTACATAAGAACTCTTAACAGAGTGGCACAATTGACTCACTTTTATAACGCGCCCACAGCTCAAAGTGTGGAGTGTGTTCGGCGAAATAGTGAGGGCTTGAACCTTGGACTTTCCAATCCGCAGGTGGTGAGGGCGCTTTACTCGCAATCTGAGGGTCGCGGGTTCGAATCCTCGTCCCACCAAATATGCTCGCCCTTTCAGCCGTAGGAGCAGTATAATGTGACGGTCAGTCCCACTATTCGTTGCTAAAAGTGTAGCCCAAGAGTTGGCGGTGGGTGGTGATGACTAGCTGCCTTCCCTCTAGTCTTTCACTGCTAAATTAGGGACGGCTAGCACAGACTGCCTTCGTTCGTGTAGCTTTGCGCGAAATTCAAAACAAACAAACAAACCAATCCACAGCTTGACATACTAACCACTAAACCATATCCAGCCCAAATTCAAACACAAGAGGCAAATTATATCGTAAATGTTATTTGTAACACGTGACATATAAGCGTAAGAACAAGTAAAAGAAACCGCTTACCGTGGTTGGCAGTGAGCTGCTGTTAAAACGTATTTAGAATTCACAAGTACTCCTCCACATTTGTTCTTCAAAAATAGTCCTAACCACGTTGCTTCCTTCACCAGAACCTGCAATGTCAAAACTTACAATGTTTACAAGCAAACATAGACAATGATATCCTATCTCTATAGAGAGAGAGAGAGAGGAGTTGTCCGTCTGGTGTCTTGACCAGGGTCAATTTTTATGAAATTTTGAACAGGATCTCAGACAGACATTCCAAAGATCGAATATAAATTAATAAAGAACCGAACGAATGGTGGTAGATACTTCAATGTTTTAGAACGTGAATGTGACGTCGAACGTTTGCACGGATACCTTGTGCTGATCGCACATTTCCAGGACGCTCGTGCAAGCCGTTTCACCATCCTCCCCGAAACCGACGAAATAATTATCGTGGTACGTTTGTTAGTAGAGTAAATATGTGAACGCGCGTCAGTAAATGTTGTATTTTTAGAGTGAAATACAATCTATATACATTAACTATTAACAGAACAACGACGACTTACTTGCCATGGCCACTGCCCGAAGTAGGTGTTACGGCCACCAACAATCCTACCGAAGGGTCTCAATGATCGAACTCCACAGTCTAAAGAAAGGGGAAAAAATAACTATTAGTTTTTTACGAATGATAATGATCAAGAGAATAAATTTAAGGTGTTTATTTAACGATGAGTTTATATATATATTTCAGAAAACAGATATTTTGTTTGTTTGCTTAGTTACTCTAGGGCAAAGTCACAGTGGGATATTTGCTGTATCCACCACCGGGAATCAAACCCCGAATTTTAGCAGTGTAAGTCCGTAGACTTACCGCTGTTCTATTGGGGGATTCAGAAAACAGAAAACTAAATAGCTTTCTCACTCAACTAGCTGGTCCACATGTGACTCGGAGGAAAGTCTGAGGGCTTGTAACGCCAACAATCGGATTTTGATACTCACGGGAGGGCAAAGCACGGACAGCCCATTATGTAGCTTTATACTTAATAATAAAGTAACAAACAAAAAATAACTTCTAGATGAGAAATCGAAATTTCACACTAACTACCACAATAGATTTTTGTTTTTAAATTGTAAAACCACCTTTTCAATAAGAAAATTGTATATTTTTAGACCAACTAGTTTTTATCGTTACTCATAAAGGTAGCAAGATACAGCAAAGAACTATCGAATAAAAATGCAGTGTGTTTTCTATTGTCAGTAACTGCACACATAGTTTATGGAAATGTACCAAACATTTTACAATATCCACAACACATACTTCAAACATAGTTCCCAACTACGATTGTTTTTTGAGGTTTATTTTGATAAAACATCAAAGACAAATTCAAACCTTCAACCTTAACGAAAACTTATGCGCTCACGGATTAGATGGCCAGGTGACAAACCCCTAGTGGACAAGTATAAAGGTTTTGTACTGACGTTAAATGTCACGTGGTCTATACTTTTATCCACCATATTGGACGCAAGTGCTAACGTTTATCTTAAGTTAGTTAATACTGTAAATCATCCATAATTATTATATGTTCCTTGTAAATGGCAAATGATAATAAACTATGGTTCTGATATTGTATTCTTCCCGGGACGGGGTGTGGCGGCCCGCAGGGGCGGGTGTTTGCTGTGTGGTTTCTCTGCCTTTGATCTTGTGTGAGTTGCAGACTAGAAACAAAATCTTCAACAAGTCCAACAACAGGAAAACAGCATTTCCGATTTTCTTCTTGGCCTCACCTCTCGCTTAATCTGGCAACTTATGGAAGTGAGCAACAAGAAGTATAGCAAGCCAGTTTCCACTATCTAGTGAGCAACAAGAAGTATAGGAAGCCAACCTCCACCATCTAGTGAGGAACAAGAAGTACAGGAAGCCAACCTCCACCATCTAGTGAGGAACAAGAAGTATAGGAAGCCAACTTCCACCATCTAGTGAGGAATAAGAAGTATAGGAAGCCAACAGAAAGTATAGGAAACCAGCCTCCACCATTTAGTGAGGAACAGGAAGTATAGGAAGCCAAACTCCACCATCTAGTGAGTAACAGGAAGTATAGGAAGCCAACCTCCTTCATCTAATGAGCACCAAGAAGTATAGGAAGCCAGCCTCCACCATCTAGTGAGGAACAAGAAGTATAGGAAGCCAGCCTCTACCATCTAGTGAGTAATAGGAAGTATAGGAAGCCAACCTCCACCATCTAGTGAGTAATAGAAAGTATAGGAAGCCAACCTCCACCATCTAGTGAACAACAAGATGTATAGAAAGCCAGCCTCCACCATCTAGTGAGCAACAAGAGGATCTAAGAACAAAGTATTTTCTTTAAGTAATTTCTACAGAAATTCTTCGATGATTTTGACCTTTTTGTTTTCGATTTAAACGGATTTCGTGTGGTTTAATATATATATATATATATTAAAATTTAGGAACTAATTTGGCTAAAGTTTATAGTGATAATAATCATTGTATGCAATTTTAAAAAGATAAAAAAAACAGTGGCAGAGTTTTATAAACATACTAAACTTACCTTTTTTGTAATCCCATTTGTGCCTGGTTGTTGTTAGGACGTTCGCTTTTGTTGGAAACGTGGTTACATTAAGGGGATTCTCTGTTGTTGTTGGGACATTCGCTGTTGTTGTAAACGTGATTACATTAAGAGGATACTCTGTTATTGTTGGGACGTTCGCTGTTGTTGTAAACGGGGTTGCCTTAAGGGTATTCTCTGTTGTTGTAAACGTGGTTACATTAAGGGGATTCTCTGTTGGTGGTGGTGTGACAACATTCGTGAAGTGCGATGTTCCGTCTGTCACATTGGTTCTTAAAGGACTAATTACCGTTGTTGTAGTGGTCGAAGAATTCTTATTATTTGTGAATATATCGACGACTGTGGACTCAGAACCACTAAACATTGAAGTACTGGTGCTTCCAATGACAGTGTCAGTAACTCCGGACAATTTGATGCTAACTTTGTCAATATCGTCTTCTGATACAATGACAGATGTAGAAGTGTCATTTAACACGTTATAAAGTGTAGAACTAGGTAGTGATGTCACTTGGGAGGACTCTGTAGTTGTTATTGCTTGAGAATTATCACTTTTTATGGTATAGAGTGATGTCATGGTTAGGTGTTCATCGTTAGGGTTCATTGAGACATAGTCCGATTTATCTAAAACCGTTGCCGTATTGGTATACATAGTTGATTCATTATCTAGGTTTAGAGCTGCATTAGAAGATGAAGAATCACCGAAAGTGTCATTAGAACTCGAAAAAATATTCCCCAGTACCGAGTTTCCGGTTTCTAACTCTAAAGTAGCTTCCGTTGTGGGCCCTTTTACTACGTTTGCTTCTTCAGTTATGGTTATGACAGATCGAACGGGATCAGTTGGAACAGAGAGGGGGGTATTTGATGATGTTTCTGTTACTCTTATATCGGAACTAAATGTAATGGACGTCGTCTGGTAGAATTCATGTCCAGGACTTGGTTTGGTGTTAATTTCGGTTGATATATCGCTTAGCTCTAGCTGAGAAAGAACGTCTTTGATCCCTGAAACTGGATTATGATCAGTGAGAGGCAGGATCGGATCACTTGAGTTTGTTTCGTCGGAAGATTCTGGGGTCGTTACTGTGAGGTAGGTTGTGTTCTCATTAGGGACTATAGACATGGTGGTAATTATAGTTTTATGAACATTATCGGAGTCGGTAGTTTCTTTTGTTTTATCAGCATGATTGGAGTTCAAATAGGTTTCGAAGCTTGTATTAGTAGGACCAATAAAGCTTTCAGTTGTGCCAAGCACTTGCTCCTTCGTGTCATTTTCAGCTTGGTTAGTAATATTGAAATATCCCGCTTGTGTCTTGAGCTCTAGCATGGTAAAATCCAGTGATGTGGTAGAGTTAGAATTTAACGTGGTTTTCGTGATATAATTATCAATTCTCGACGCGTCAGTCTTTGCATTAACAATATTGTTAGTAACTGTTAAAATTGGCAAATTTTCAGTTACATCCGCAGCTGTTGATGACTTGACAAATATAGAGTCAGGTGTTGGTAATGTATTAAGATCTGTACTTCCATATTCAGCATTCAGAGTAGTCAAATATGTACTTGTAGGGGATGAATTCTTCGTGAAATGTTGGGCTGTATTGGTGGGTTTTGGTTTCATAATATTTATCATATTAGAAAAACTACCAAGGGAAATAGCACCATGTAAATCTTTTTTTGTCGTCGCGAGAGAGGGCGTCGTAGTCGTAGGCCTGAACGGAATTGTGCTGCCATCTAGTGACAACTCTGAAACACTTCTGGGAGGCGGCGATGGCCCGGGTTTTACACCATAATACTGATCAGTAGAAAATGCTCCAATTCCTGTTGGTTTGTTTGAGGGCAGTTTACAGCAGCTAAGATAGAGAAAGCCATTGGTGCAGGTTGATAGTAATACACCATTTTCGACGGTGCAGTGCCATTTGAACACACACACTCCTGCCTTGCCTGTGGCGTCCTCACACGGCTTTCTATAAACATCCAGTGTTTTCCCTAAACAAAGTAAAAAAAGGTTAAACTACAGACACAGAAACTTCTATACATGATCAAAAGGTAGTTGTAATATTGCCTGGCAAAGTTACTAAAAGTAAATAAAAGTTAAACTACGAGACATAGAAACTTCTATACATGATCAAAACGTAGTTGTAATGTTGCCTGGCTAAGTTACTAAAAGTAAATAAAAGTTAAACTACGAGACATAGAAACTTCTATACATGATCAAAACGTAGTTGTAATGTTGCCTGGCTAAGTTACTAAAAGTAAATAAAAGCTACTTTGTAAACTTGAGAACGTGCCATATCTATTAAAAATATAATATAAACATTCAATAACTTTAACTTAATTGCCGAGATTGTCAGTTGGTTAAACAAAACATTTTGGTCGATTTGTTTCCAAGACACCATTCGCGATTGTAATCAGTTACTTTAAAAACCGAAGTTTCCATAAATAGTGTATAATACTAGTACAGACGTAAACGCCTTGTACAATTACAAAGAATTAAAAAAAATACAGTTTCTAAATAACTTATGATTAAAAATGGAATGTACGAAAAACTTTTGAGACATAGTTTTAATCTATTTCTTGTAGAATGGAAATTCACACCTATAGTGGGATTATAATTACTACTTTAAGGTTACATGTTCAAATATCATCAATGATACATTAAAATGTGCGTCGCGTTTCAATTAACAATTTGGCTCCACATTTTAACGATATTTTTATTGTCGTTTTAGTGCAAAGCCACGCAATAGGCAGTTTGCGTTCTGCCCACCGCATGGAATCAAACCTCAGACTTTCATGTCATAAGTGAATCTCACCAAAGTACTATTTTAATAAATAGTACCAGATAAATTTGTTTTCAGAAGAAATAATATCTAAAAAACAATGTCGGGGTATGTTGTTTCGAAAATATTCTACAGCTCATTTGTCATATGATATGCAAAGTGTATCTTTTTTTTCTTTTTTTTACAAAGATAAACATGGTAACTATTTTTACGACAGAACAAAGAATTCTGTGGGAATTAAATTTTATTTTAGAGGAGACTAAGCCCCCTAGCGTAAGTCTATGAGTAAGTCCATCACCAGAAGGGTAAGCGGAAACTTTCCGGAGTTACATGGCTAAACAATCCATGGTTTGATTCCCCGCAGTGGACAGAGTGCAGATAGGCTGCTATGTTGTTTTGCGCTAAAAATAAAAAATAAAAAACGTAACTTCCGTCTATATTCTGCACCAATTATCAAATTGGTAGGAAGTAAACTGATTTCCGAGACAAAATTGGTAGGAAGACAACTGACTTCCGAGATAAAATTGGTAAGAAGGAAACTGACTTTCGAGATAAAATTGGTAGAAAGATAACTGACTTCCCAGATAAAATAGGTAAGAAGTAAACTGACTTCCGAGATAAAATTGGTAGGAAGACAACTGAGTTCCGAGATAAAATTGATAGGAAGATAATTGACGTCCGAGATAAAATTGGCAGGAAGACAACTGACTTCCGAGATAAAATTGGTAGGAAGACAATTGACGTCCGATATAAAATTGGCAGGAAGACAATTGACTTCCGAGATAAAATTGGTAGGAAGACAACTGACGTCCGAGATAAAATTGGTAGGAGGACAACTGACTTCCGAGATAAAATTGGTAGGAAGATAATTGACTTCGAAATTTAGATAGATTTTAGTACAACGGTTGTTATAGAATTAAAGGAATCGCGAGTTACTGTATTTATTTTACATAAATTTTGTAAACTATACAACAAGAGGTGTTGGTTGCTATGGGCATTACAAGTAGGCAAAGTGGAGATATAAGAAAAAGTATTTCTCACATACCTAAACAACTTAAGTAGAGAAAAGTCTGGTTAACTCCAGGATCAAGACTAGGATTTAAGGATGACAACAACGCATCCACTCATTCCTTGTAGCTCGCAATTGTTTTAAAAGCAATAAATGATCGCTGGAAATGAAACATCTGATCAAACCACATCATCCTGAATCTTTAGGGTGCAGTACAGGTTAAATTGGAGAGCGGTTACCGCTTTTGGGCGCAAAATTTTCGATGCTCAAATTCGAAAAATCATGCCATGAAAAAATTCATGATATACGAGGCACATATTGCATTTAACGTGAAGAAACATTACCTTGACGTAAAATATTACTTTAAAAGTAGCGTCGAAGAATAACTCGCAAGATTCGATCAATACTTTTGACGTCGAGCTAAATATTTTCTCGTCATGCCCTCAAAAGGAGATACTAAAATAAAAATAAAAAGTAAAATAATAATAATAAAAACAAAAACAAACGGAAATTTTGCATAGATTCAAAACCCATCTGAGTAGGTGCACATAAATATAACAATATTTAAAAGTGTCTATTACTTTTTTCGAATAAAAATATCTGTTGGTTTTGATAGTTTCGAGCGCCCCCTACAACCTCCAGCTCAAATTCTCGACAAGTTACCGCTTGATCCCCGCTGTCCAAATTAATTTTCTGAATTACTCTTTAGTCTTAAGTGTTCTATTATCAGTAAAAAAGTAAAACTGTTCCATTCAGTACCAATATAGAGAGTAAAACATTATAAATATATAGGGTGTCCATAAAGTCTGAAAACATAAGGCAATTAAAAAGTTGTATATTGGAGCTATAATTATTCAATGTGTTTTTTTTCCTGTGTCAATACATTTTTGAAGGTGATGCCAAAAGTTTTTATAGTAGGTCAAAATACATATAATACATAAACAAATAAAAAAGTTAGGACGTTTCCTTATGTCTCCAGACTTTATGGACACCCTGTATATATATATTTAAATCATAAACTCTGTTTTTTAGTTTTCACATAGTGAAACTTTTTAATTACAAATCAATTCAAAACTCACAATTTATTATTAATCACACCTAAATTTCACGATAGCTTGTGATGCCATGCGTTTGTATTGAACAGTTATCTGCCTTCAACTTGTTGAAGTGACCATATTCTTCAAGCTTAATACAAGTGTGCATTTTTTATATTTTTTTAAAAAGGTTTAAAATATTTCTTGAAAACTGTAACATTGAGTTTGGTTTCTTTGTTTTAAATTTCACACAAAGATACTCGAGGGTTATTCTTATACCAATGAATAGTAAGATTGACTATCACTTTATAACGCCCCCATGTCTGAAAGGACGAACATGTTCGATAACGGGGATTCGAACCCGCGACTCATAGATTGCGAGTCGAGCACCCAAACCACTTGTCTCCCGGTGAAACAGCAGTGCATTTTCAAACTTATAACTCTAAAATTTGGGGTTCGATCTGTTGCGGTGGATACAACAGATAGTCCTATGTGGCTTTTACTCTAAAAATACAAACAAACAAACCCTAACCACCAGGCCAACATTGAACTGTCGCTGAAAGTTATAAAAATGACGTAAATCCTTCCTTACAAATTTATGTGGAGCTCAAGCTGAAATATTTGTGAGACACCCATTCCAATGACATGGTAATTGGGGGGGGGGTACTCAGGGGACTGATTATCTATGCTTCATAGACTCGCTCTCCAAGCGTATTTCGCTTATTGACTGGCTTACCCAAATTTAATAACTGTTCTAAACATTTCGCAAAGTCATTAGGTTTTTGTTACATCAATTTAGAATATCTTAGGCCTATTCCCACGCGACCCGGCATGGCCAGGTGGTTAGGGCGCTCGACTCACAATCGAATCCCCGTCCCACCAAACATGTTCGCTCTTTCAGCCGTGGGGCGTTATAATGTCACGGTCAATCCCACTATTCGTTGATAACTGAGTAACCCAAGAGTTGGCGGTGTGTGGTGCTGCCTTCCCTGTCTTTCAGTGCTAAATTAGGGACGGCTAGCGCAGATAGCCCTCGTGTAGTTTTGCGCGAAATTCAAAACATACTCACAAATTTACTTGATCTTAGCATCATGCGCCCTCTAGCTAACAAAATCTAGCTTATAACAATATTTGTAAAAACTGTGTGAAGTCATACGAGTATGAAACTTTTAGTCTTTTATTACACTTGTGTGAAACTTACCAGAAACTGAACGATTTACTAATGTTATCTCAGTATAAAATGTTCTCTGAAAGTGAACGGTATTTATATTTTAACTCATCTCACTGCCACCCAGTTTTAACCTTGAACTCAAGGTCTTTGTTTTAACCCAACAATAGAAGAGTTTTTGGTTCTTAGTAGAAAAAAGAACTTACAAAACTAGTTTGACGAAAACAACAGTGGCTATACTTCGGGAAGGTGTGAGAAAAGTTGTACTTGACCTTTGAGGATTAAGCTTGAACGGAAACTTGCATTGTCACTATTTTTCTACAGAACTCATGATCCATGCCTTGGGTATGTATCCCACAAGTCCAAAAGTAGGGGGGAAAAAACCTGAAACCCAGGTGACCTAGATACACTGGGGCCAAATCGCGCTGGTAATGAGTTTACTTCCGCTTCTATACTTTGCCGTTTTCACGAGTAAACAACCTATATATTGTAACTTCGTGTTATCTTTGATGCACAATAAGAAAATATTAGGTGATCCATTATATGATATATATTTACAAATAAAATACGAATATAACTTTTTTATTTTCATATACCATAAAAAACTATTATGGTCTAGTTAAATAAACACATCAAGAGATAAAGGCATTTTTATTATACAATTTATACTCTATTATCTACCATTATATATATTTTATATGAGCCTCTCTCGACACTCAAAGAAAGAAAAGCAGTCGTGGTCTGGTTAAATAAACACAGAAAGAAGATAAAGGCATTTTTATAACAGAAATTGTACTCCATATCTACCACTATTACGAACCTTTTCTACGCTCAGAAGAGTGTCGTGGTCTAGTTAAATGTA